TTCACACCATGAAGCCCTTGAAAGTCAGATATAATGCTATACGAACATAAAAGCATCGATTAGGGATAGCATAGCCCTGAAAGAGAGTAATATACTGGTAACCGGTGGGTCACGAGTTCGGATTTCCTCCTTCCAAAGACGCGCCCTGTAGGGAAAGCGCGATTCATATCAAATCTATATACAGGGGCTCCTCAAATTAATGTGGAATGATTGCATAGGTTTGGTTGCCAGCTCAAATGTCGATCATATCATGTGACCACAGTAGCGTAACGCAGAATATTAGACCCCCTCCCTTGAAAAGTCAGGTTTTGGGCCCCAAGTTCAAACAAGTACTTGGCGTCAGTCAAGCTTTGGGCCCCCCGCATTGTGAGGGGTGTACGTTACTCCACTGTGTGACTATAGTTTAAAATTACAAGCCATGTTAGTTATATGTCGTGTCCTTAGTTTCATGTAGAAATAGACATCCATAACCGTTCTCAATAGACAAATAAATATAAATAATATTTTTTAAAATAGAATAGTGGAACCTATAGTGTTTAAGAGCTGTTGATGTTAAATCTGTCGTGATCCATGCCCTCACACTGGCGTAACGTTGTGAGTTGGACGCCAATTATGCATCAACCTCGTCATTTGACTGTGGTTCAAAATTAAGAAGTGTCTTAGCTGTGATTAACAGACTTTTAATGGGGGAGGAAGGGAAATCAACAACTAATTGATTGATTTATTATTCTTTAACGACTCACTTCGAAGTAACTATGGCGACTATTAGTGACAGACCATGTAATTTTGAATCTCGATCAAGTGACCAGGACGACACTGGAGCTTGCACCACTTTTTTCTCCGAACTTCTTCGTGAGCATTTGGAGCCTCAATCGATTTAATGTTCATTAGCCCTTCTACAAGGCGACACCGAGAAAGCTACAGCAAGAATTAGAATGAGACAGTGAGACATTTCAAGGAAAACTCTGTTATTTAAAAGACTCAAGACTTAATACATCCAGCAAATTTTCAAATATAAAATAAGTCCTAAAAATTATACTTAAAAGAAAAAAAATTCAAATTTTTTTATATTCCTTTTTTTTACCAGTAATTACAACGCGAAGTATTTCAGGGACTACAATACAGATTTTTCAAACTAAATGCAAATCACTTGATTGTATCTCAGTGATTATTGCCCTGTAAAAAGTATTTCATAGTATATTAGTAGACATCAAAAGTCCACCTAGCATCCTGTCCCAATCAAACACGTAGGAATTCTGTTCCAATCTAACTTCAAACTCACCAGTTCGTAGTACAGCATTGATTTACGGCGTTGACCTAGACTTAGATTCGAACTCTTCTGAGAATCAGGGATGTTTTTCTGATGACTGACCTTGAGGCCTTTTCATGACCGGTTTACAAAGGTTTAGGTCAGAAATTCATCTCTATTTTCCCCCTTTGGTGTTATCGCCGTGTCAATTTTAGCAATATGTCCATCTACACACCCAAATTGTCTTTACCATTTAATAGCTTTGCAGTACATAAGTAAAATAGGCCAGTTTTAATTATTATTGAATAAACACAGATAGCAATTTTCAAAACAGCATTCGAAAAATCCAAATTAAGGTATCCGACTACGTTCGGAACCATGATTTTAAAAAAGAGCATAAATGGATAATTTTCATGATATTTAGTGTTACTTAGATTAGAATACATGTATAAAATTGTTTTAAGGACATTATGACAAAAAAATTATTTAAATACAATATTTTGGCAAAAAATTAACTTAGAATAACCTTTTTTTCCAAATGTTCTCCTTTTGTAAAAAAATGCTTCTATTGTATTAATATTTTGCCTGAATATAGCTCAGACCACTGTACAGAGGCTCAACTATGAATTTTGAAAAGTTCACATTTCCAGAGTTACAACCATTTGAAATAATTATCGGCGTATTTTCTTAAAATTTCTCCCTTCTGTTTTCGTAAAACATGGATAAACCGACTTCCGAGTTATGCGTTTCAAAAATTCTAGTTGAGCCTCTGTAGAGAGGTCTGAGCTATATACAGGCAAAATATTAATACAATAGAAGCATTTTTTACAAAAGGAGAACATTCGGAAAAAAGGTTATTCTAAGTTAATTTTCTGTCAAAATATTATACTTAAATAATTTTTTATTGTAATACTATTCTTAACCCAATTTTATATACATTGTCTAATCTAAGTGATGCTAAATATCATAAATATTATCCATTTACACGCTTTTGCAAAATCACGGTTCCGAACGTAGTCGGATACTTTAAGAAATATGAGATTACAAGTTTTTATTGCGGTTTGATACTTTTAGATTTATATATATTATATCTCTTCAATTTAAATTTCATGATTTTAAGTATTTGTTCAGTGTTTTAAAACAATTGTTATAGCACGATTTACATCATTCTATTATACTTATTTTATAGATATTGAATGCAGTAAAAGGAAGCACCTTATTGTGTTAAAAAAAGCATATGAACATACACTACGTAACATTAGAAATGCAACCCCAAAAAGAAGTGGCAGCAAGAGAAGAATCTCGACAAACAGTGAGAGATAGAAACAAATGATAATTGGTGTTTATTTTAAAATAATACCCCTCCATACAAAGAGCGAGAAAAACGTTAGCTCAGTATGTTATAGGAGCATGTCCAAATGCAGAGCCAATGCCAGTACGGACGGTGCCTTGAGGGATGGTTTGTCCACAATTTACTACAGCCCGTCTTCTGAACACATGGTAGTACCAGGTGATTTTCTTGTTTCAACCTGCTTTGTCACAGCAAATGTGACGTGGACGTGTCTAAATGAGTGTAAGCTGAGATTCTACGCATTAACCTACCCTTCTCAGTTCAGTCAACACGCTTCTCGTGTTGTTGTTGTTGTTGTGACTAATGCCACCTGCCTGACACATGCTCTTCGTAAAATTGTTTATCTACTGGAACTGCCTCCGTTGGCCTGACATTCTATGCTATTACACGTGTCCTTTGAGATAAGAAAAAAATTTCTATGATTTCAATGATTTTCCTGACAGAAATAACTTATAGACAGATATTTACCCATTCTACAGGTTCCTTCTATTACATCCAATTTTATCTTTCCCGGAAAGGTGCACATTTCACTTGATTTTCAGTATTCGCTAAAGTGTGCCTACTTCTGAAATTTGCGTAATTTTTTTTTGTCATTCCTTCTTGGTATTGCATTTTCAACGCCATGTAATACAATTCAGTGAACAGTTTATTCATAAAAATGTTTTCGTTATCATAAGAGAAGAAAAATATATACCTTTTATTAACATATTTTTTTATCTTTCTCTCTTTGCATACATATTTTGTCAATTAAACTAATGAAAAAGAAGTAATATAAAAAAAAATTAAGTCTATTCCTACTTTGGTCAACAAAGAAAATTTTTATTTTAGTTAATTAAGTTTAATTAATTAATGATTATTTGAAAAAACTGTATTAACATCGTGTCATCTGCTAAAAGTTTAAAAAAATATATTTGAACTTGAGTGGTGCCCTCTGTTTTAGTTAGTTGTAACTTCATCAGAAATAACACAGAATAAATTTAAAATTAAAAAATCATATTTAATTAATGAATCAATATTTAAAAAAACTGTATAAACATCAAGTGCCATCCATTACACAAGTTTAAAAAAATATATTAGGACTTCTGTGGATGAATAAAAGGTATTTTATTAACGATTGAAAATTTGATTTGAGATATACATATATAAATATATTTTATTGGGAGAGAGTATGAACTCTATAGTAAGAATCGAAAAAAAAAAGAATTTAATTTGAACTTTAACTCTAACTACTAACACACACACTCTCTCTCTCTCTGTCTCTGTTAGTAGTGTACTACTTACTAACAGTGCCTCCAAATTTTTACACTATTTATAACAGCATTAATATGCTTAGAATGGCTCACAAAAACTTTATTGTTTTTCATTTGGTCTCATTACTGTTAATTAAAAAAATAAAGCAAGATTTTTTTAATAATTATCTTTACCTTTAACCTATTATATTACTCATGTTTAAAAAAATGTACTTACATTAAAAAAAGCTCTTAGGAGAATTAATTGTATCTACATGATAAAAATTCTGCATCAGATCGTCATCCTCAAGAAATGAAAGCTTTTTTTTTTACAAATTTATGCTAATTCCCAACGTTATTCGTTTCTTTTTCTAAAAAAACAACAAAAGCTTCAAATATATTTTGAAATGGATAAATTATGCTTGCCATTTTTGTACAGGAAATAAATAATGAAGTGCGATCATTGAAAAACAAAACAATTTTTGTCACATTATGCTGAAAGAAAATCAATCTAACCAAAAGTAATCAAATCTGTTTCATATTTCAAATGGTATCGCAGATAGAATTTGAAACATGAGAAGATTTAAAAGTATATTTTCCAGAAATTCGGAAATAACTGTTATATATACTATTTTGAGTGACTGAACATCAACGTCGCACTGTTCAGCTACACGAGGGCTTTTGGTGACGGACCACGTAATTTTGAACCATGGTCAAGTGACGTGGACGACACTTGTGCTGGCACCCCCTCTCCTAACTACCACACCACACCAATATATGTACTATAGAAAACAATAATTAATATATATGTTTTTGTGTGTTTGCATATATAGAAAGAGACTAGTTTTAGGATAATTTTATGTTTTATATCTTGCTTATATAAAACAAGTAATATAAAAAATTTTAAAGTCAATTCTCCTACTTAGGTCAACAAAGTAAAAATTTATTTTAGAGTTACTTTTTATTAAATGATTAAAATTAATATATAAATATGTATAAACATATGACAGAATCACAATATTAAGTGACAAAATAGAAAACGATTTTCCTTCCTATATATGGTGCTGGAATATTACTTTTGTTTTTGTGTTATTATTTATTCATTAATTAAATTTAATTATTCTAATAAAATAGTATAGTAAAAAAGTAATCCTATTCTCAGAAATTAGACCGTCCCAGATGTGATTTGAACCCACGACCTTTGGATTTGAAGTCCAATGTGCTGTCCATTGAACTACAGGGACACAACGAACAATTTTCCTTTTTATGTATGGTATTGGTCTGTTTTATTTTTGTATATTACTATTTATTCATTAATTAAATTTAATTAATGAATAATTATTTGAAAAACTCTTAATATCAAGCGTTGTCCACTACAAGTTTAAATAATGTATTTGAACTTGAATGGATGAATAAAAAGTATTTTATTAACAACTGAAAATTTGAACAAGATATATATATGTATAAATAAATATATATATATATAGGGAGAATGTGAGCTAATAGTAGGAATTGAATAAACAACAATGTTGAAGTTCTTTACCAATAATTTTTCTTATTTTATTTAGTTAATTATTAGTATTTAAAAAAACAACAGTGCCAATGAAAAAGGAAACGACACCTTGGCACATTTTTTATGAAGGTTGGAAACTCTTTGACAGCAGAGACATTTTCACATATTGATAAGTATGGCATAATTACGTATATTTGTGAATTCGCTAAAATTTTATCAAAAGAAGCAAGTTTTGAAGAGGAAGAGTTATTTCACATTAATTGAGTAATCAAACATCGAGTTCTGGTGTTGATTATCGGTATATAGATACTGAAAGTCAATAAGAACAGTAAGATTGTTAAATAAAAGAATTAGCATTTCAATCAAAATGAGATAAATTAATGTTAATAGATACTGATATACTAACTAGATTGTTATTATTCAATGTTAATGGTAATTCTCTAATATTGATCATTTATTAATTTTCTAGAGATGAATTTATAACAAAATAATTCGTTAGAAAATCTGAGTATAACACCAAGTGTAATATAGAATATTGCATAACATAAATTAAGAAAAAAACCTTGATGATATTGTCTTTTCTAATGTATAAAAGCTCTTCATTATATCAATTTTCTTATTATTTGAAACCTGCTTGAAGAAAATGCCAAAAATTAGAAACAAATTTAAATACTCTAAATCAAAGAGTGTTATGTAAATTTATGTTACATATATTTATCATTACCAAAGAAAAACTTATCTTATTCAATGATATTATCTTTTCATCAATTTTAATAATAGATATAATCATGTGTATAAATTCTGATCGTAAAGAAATGTTAATCTTAAGAAAAAATCCTATCATTTTTTTTTTTTTGTTCATAATAATTTTGTTTATTTTTCGGCGTTTTTTTATAGTTGTTTTGGGGAAAAGAAATTATGAGAAAATTGAATATAATTTCGAAAATATTAATTTTTGAAAAATATATTTGAAAAGAATTTGCAAATGGCAAAATTTTAGTGAATAATATATATATTTACATATGGTTAACATTAACAACATATTTTTAAATTTATTCTATATTTCCATATAAATAGAGGTAAAAATGCGGTTTTCAATTCTATTGATGATTTTTTTAAATTCATCCACAAAACACACACACACATACTATCCATGTGCAGTTTTCTTTTAAGCTAAATTTTACTTAATTTTCAAGAATTTGAGGATTTCTAAGCATTACGTTCTTATTTTTCATTCGTTAATAATTAGTTTCTAATCACTATTGTTTTTTCTTCAACAATCGTCTGTAAATATTGATTAAATTAATCCTTGTATTAGACCATTGGAATATATTTATTGATTTATGTTTTTAAACTTTTGAAAAATTATTTCTATAAGTCAGCGATAAGTTGAGTAATTTGAAGTTACATGTATAAATGCTGTTTTGGCCTATATTTCTGGGATGAGGGGGAAGCTTAATTCTCTACATATTAATTCTGATCATATTGCTGATTGTATTTGTCACCTATATATATATTCTTCCGTTAATTGTTAGAAATTCCAGGTTTTCTTAAAATAAAAGATTGGTATGTTTAATTTGAAATTCATGAAAATGATTTTTTCTATGCTGCAGGATCATCAAATTATATAATTTAAACTATGATATTACTCATTGATAAGTAATTTTGTTCTGTTTGATAAATAAGTTGTTTTTCCCCTCCTTCGTTATTTATTTACCGGCCAGCTATAATACTTAATCGTGTTTTGGAAATCGCTTTTTAACTTTTAAGAATATTTAAAATTGTAAAAGTGATGTAAAAGCATATCTGAAAAATATTGCTGTACATATATATTATAGTAGTTACTGTCATACAAAATATTTCACTTCTATTTACATAGAAATATTAATTATTAGTTTTCTATATAGATTATTTTTATCGATATTTAGGCGTAGCGCAGTTAAAGATAATCAGAAGCCTATTACACTTTCTGCGTGAGCAGGATATACCTACCGGAATAAGTATTTTACTCGTGTTACATTGTTTTACCACGAAGAGAGAATTTAAGTCTTGAATTCTCCTCAAATAAAAATGAGAAGTATAACATGAGTAAGTATTGCAAGTACAGTTTTGAATGTTGTTGTGATTTTTGAATTTATTTCTTACCATAAAAAATTAAGGCTGTTTTTGGTCAATGTTAAAGAATAGGAACCGAATTTGGAACATTTTTTCAGATATAAAAGAAATGAAAAGTGACGCGATATATTCTGGTTTCACTATCCTTTAAAAAGAGTAGTATTTTTACTTTCCACATTTTTCAACCAGGGTTGATTCATTTTTTCCTGACCTTAAAGTATGTTTTGTGATTTTTTTCTACAATATCATGTAATGTTAAATGGGCTATGCCTTCACGTATTAAAACGAAAAATATTCATGGAATAATTTGAAAATTTTTAAAAACTTACTATATTGTTAACAGAGGTATAGCGGTTATTAACAATACCAATTCTATATGGAAAATGAGGCATTTTCTGTCTGGAAATACTTCGCTCTTGTACTTTTACCTAAGATAGCCTAAATTACTATATTCAACACTCGGCGTCTTATTTTTGGTTGGTGCTGCCATCTAGAAGGGAATTATAGAAATCCAGTCCATGGAGTTTCCTTTCATAATTTTGAAAAAAAAAATTCTCATTTACGCAATACTTTTTCTGAAAAATTGTTTTATAAACACACACAAAAAAATGTACTTATTTATCTATGTTTCATTTTCAATAATATTCATAATAACAGAAGTTTATGATCGATATACAGTATTTGAAGTATAGATCTGAAAACTTATGATAATGAAAAAAATAGCATTCAAATTTTTGAAATGTATGTTCTAATGTTGTAATGAATATAGATATTTTAATTGAATTTGAGGTATAGAACATTATGATGTCCTTTTTAATTTTTTATAACCCTTCATTTCTAGTTGCGTATAACCCACCCGTATTTAAAAACAAAAAATTTAGTCAGACAACATTACGTTAAAAATGCTGAAAACATTTAAACTCCCTCCCCTTCACATTTCATAAAAAAATCTTTCATCTATTATTTTACATTATTATATATGTATAACTATACGAAAACTTCTTACTTTTAATTATTCAAAGAAAGGAAAAAGTCCAACTAAATAACGTGCTTGAAATTTTCTAATATTTGTACAGTTCATATTCTCAAATTATGCTGTTGTAATAGTTCTAAATCTCACGAAATGTTTGAGTTACATATATTGTTCAAATGTTTTTCTCATTTATATATTAAAATTTTTTTCAAAGTTATAATTCTGTTTCGAAACATAATACTAAAGGAAAAAAGAAATAATATTAAAATTGAACTGCTTGAAGTTTATTTCTTTGGAATTCAAATACTATATATATATATATATATATAAGAAACACAATTAATTATTTTTTAACCTCTTAAAATATATTTATTCGTAGCATTCACCAGTGTCTTATTCAGAAATAAAACAATTGGAGAATTTTATTTATTAATATTTGACTTTTCAGGACTACTTAAAAGAATTCTTGAATATATAAAGCTTCTGCTTCTCTTAGATATTCACTCGCAACATCACTATAAACTATGTTCTGAGGATATGAAGCTAATTGGGAATTGTTGATAAGAAAGCAGACGTACACAACTCCTGGCTCTCTAGGCCTAGGCAGCGGTCCCCCACTTCACTTTATTTTCCAGAGCACACCCTTTTCAATTTTACCTTATACTTCAGTTTTCGTTTGGGAGGGATTACCCTTTAACTCTATCCCTCTTTTCCCTATCTTTGTTTTTGCTCTTCGGAGAGTCTTTTCATTGTCCAACGCATACAGAGCCACCTTGTTTTGGACTGGCAACGGGCAGACGAAAGGAAAGGATAGTGGTACAGGTTTTGGAAACTCTTGTTCATTTCTTACCTAATAGATCTAGGACCACCCACCCTTTCGTAAATTAATACAGTAAATTAATGAAATCATTTGCAATTACAGCATAGAGTATACATTACTGTATGAACTTTTTTCAACTTGTTAATTATCATTTTTTAAATCGTTTATAGCTTTACCATCTTTTACTTTTAGACATCTTTATTATTTATTGAGTCACTGTCATTGTACTGGTATAAAGGTTTTCTTGAGCTTTATCACGGCAAAATCGTTAATAACGTCATTGTAATTAATGTCCATGGCAATATCATTTTGAGTGCATAGCAACATCCAACTTTCCTTTTCCATGGTAGATCTCATTTCAGACTTTACTCTCTCTCATGGGTAGAAATGTTTCTCTCATGACTCGCTAGGTGGTGGCACGTTCGATGTAATTAAAGTTTTTTTTCTTTTTCGCCCTCCAATTACTACCCTCCTAAATCTTTAGCGCCCTAGTACATGCCTAGCGTGCCTAAACGGTATGAAAGATTAACTTATTATTAAAGGAGAAAAACAGCCTTTTTTTATTGGAAATAATCGAAATGATAAAGAAGTATTTCACAAGGTACGAGAGAAAAACTTATGTTTAAAAGCATTCATTTCATGTAGGTTGCATGAAAAAAATACATCTAATTAAAAAATAAACAGCGATGCTAGAACAATGCTGCCCTCTAGTGGAGTCCAATATGTATTCAAGTGAAAATATTAACTAAGATTACTTTTCCACGATAATATTTAAATAGAGTTAAATTAGCGTAATAAAGCATTTCAGCTTTAGTTGCAGGGT